AGGCTTCCGGTGATGACCGGAAGGCAGAATTGCCGGCTATGAGCATGCAGGAGATGAAGTCGGACTCAGGCCCTGTTCTTGAGTCGGACGTTGGACGCATGTATCGAACTCGGGCGGTAGTTTGGGTGAGCTGCAATCAGAGCTGGCGGGGTTGGATCGGCCGCGAGTTCTGTCGCGGGATCAGCAGAAGGCTTCGATGAGTCTTGGTTCGGCGCTGGGATCGTGGTCGGAGATGGGCTGGAAGCGGACAGTCGGAGTCGCGTGCGGTGTCGAGTTGTGCATCTGTCCGAGTGTGAAGGCTCGGGCAAGGAGGGTTCGCGGCTACAGGCGGGACGACTGGATCTTGGGCGGCTTTGGCTGTTTGACTCAGACGGCTTGCAGAATAGATGGGGCGAATCTCATATAGTTCATGGAGAACCTGAGATTTGAAACAGAGGCCATGGCCATTTTCTATGGGGTTTGTTATTTAGTAGAGGATGTTATTGTTGAGGTTTTCTTGCTCAGGTTATGCTTGAAGGTGAAAGGTTGAGGAGCTTCATGGAAAGAATTGCAAGATTGAAGATTGGGCTCAGATGAGGGAGAAGGTAGAGATTCATATTCAAGTGGAGTTTCGATCAAGGTGGAGTACGGAAGGCAACTGCAGAGGCGGAGAGAGAGACTCTTAATCTTGAATTCGATCAAGGTGGAGAATTATAGGAGCATGTTGAAGAATCAAGAACCTCGAGGAGGCAAGATGGTCGAAACTTGGGATTGTAACGAGCGGAGCGCAGGTGAATGCGATGGGCTCGGTGGACGGGTGGATCGTGCGAAGTCGCAGGTAGGAGCGCGCACGGGTGTCCAGGGCGATCGGTTGGATTGCAATAAGTTCGAGTTCTTGTGACGAGTGGTTCTTTGTTTTTTGTAAAACTAAATCAAGGTGGAGATTGTTACGTGTTGTTTTAGTTTTAGGCTATGTTGCTCATGCATGTTATCACACCTTGGTAATGCTCTATAAATAGAGGCCTTGGGTTGATGTAAGATTTGGGGAAAATTAATGAAGCTTGAGGTATTTTCCTCCCCAATTGATGTCTCTCTCCCTCCCTCCCTCTCTCTCTCTCTCAAGAACATCTTCCAAGATCCTAACACATAGTGTAGTGGAGGAATGACAATATTATCCTAGACAAGCTCAAGCCTTCTCCCTTCTATCTTCCAAACATTGAAGTGATCTGAAGAGATCTTTTGCCACCCAATTATTGCGCTCAATCATGCAAATCACATAGTAGTGGTGTGCACGGTTTAAAGGCTTGACAAGATAAGGTGATTCAACTTTTCTCATCAAAATTTCTTGAAATTTTTGCTCTTATATAATCAATTATATTTATTATCTTTGTATTCATGAGGGTCTATTGCCTTAAAGAGCCAATCAAATATAACAAACCAATTCAAGAATTTTTGTTGTATTCATCTCCTATGCCACACAAAGTGAGGATTCCTTATCCAGACATAAATGTACTCGTATGTAATTTTGTGTCTCCAACTATTCATGTTTTAAAAACATAAAAGAAAGTAAACACTTTCAATCGAGGACAAAGTATTTACTATTATTAATCTTTATATGAACTCTTTGGTTATCTTTTTGATCGGACTTAATTGATTGATCACTCAATCACTGTGGCAAATTGGACTTGTGCACTTTTTTGAATGTCACCCCAGGTAGTATTTTATTGAGCGTCCTCTTGACTACCCTGTTCTACCTAGGGTGAAGTACATGCTCAGAGAAGACATTCAACTCTATGTTGGCCCAAGTCATCTTGAGTTGGATCTCCTGGATCTAGATAAGAAACATCGCCACCCTAACCTTACTCAGTAGAGCTCAATGTTGGAGGCCCCTTCCTTGCCATCATAAGGATTTTGAACTTCATCCAGCTTGAGAGGGGACGCTAGTTTGATTTCAATTGGGAACAAAGGCTAGACTAGATGTGCTATAGCCACAACCATATTTTGTTTATGATTAGATGCAACATACTCTGGTCGCCCCCTCCTTGGCCACACAATCCTTGAGCTTCTTCGCCTTGTATGCTAACTGTTGTATGCGTGCACGGAGCAGTGATTCTATCATTTCCATTTTAGTGATCGACAATTACAGGGGAACACTTCTGATTGGATTATAGTGGCCCTCAGAAGGCCATGTGCAGTCGATAGAGGCTACCACTTGACAGTTTATACGTCAATCTTATGATTGTGGAAGTATCAGCATTAGTGTCCTTGATAGAACTCCAAGGAGATTGCTACCCTTCTTAAACTCTCTACCTTGTCCTTTAGAGTTTATTTTTGTTGTTTCTTAACAATCTGTTGTAGATCCTTCATGGTCATAACAATTACTTCCATCTATTTTGCTTTATTTGATCGAAGTTGCTCCACACAAGATCTACTGACCTTATATATTTCATTTGCTTGTGAGATTTTGAAATGTAGACGAGCAATGAACTAGGTGATGATGGTGGCAGTGACATCCCAAACCCAATTATGAGTGAAGAAAATGTGATAATTTGAAGTAGCGTATCTCCTGAGAAAATGACAAGTGAATTGGAGTAAAAAAATTGACAGCATATGCATAAAAGACTTTCTCATTTTGAATAATTTTGTTTGACTTGTACACTTCTTTTGATAGAAGCTTTGGGCTGGCATCTTATAAGTTCATTTCATCATTAAAAACATATTAGTTATCATAGGACTATCATGATGACACAAGTGAATGATGGCGGAGTTGAGGAAGCTATTTTAGTTAATTTTGGCTTGGTGATTTAGTGATGGTATTTGTTGTTGTTAGATGGGAGAAAGATTAAAAATTATTGAAAATTTTAATGTGGGTTGGGTTGTTGCCTAGTATAATTCATAACATTATTATTATTATTTTTTTTCGGATGAATCCAATAATCCTTATAATGATCATAGAGTTCTGACATATGTTTAATTGAAAATTATTCTAGGCTTTGTGAGTCCAAGTGAACATATGTGGCATGCGTAGTGGATTGCATGGGACTAAAGGGATGGATGTGCAATGGGATGGTGAATGAAGTACAAGGAGGAGGTTGCAAATGCGGTTGTGGGATGATTGTAAAAGATGGGAAGAGGGTTAGTGGTTTGCGGTGTAAAGTTTATGGAATTTGAGGCAAGTGATGTTGAGGAAGAGATGTGAGAGTGATCCATGAGGATCACGTGCATGGGAGATGCTCTATGTGTTTGCAGGAGAGACATGAGACATATTGTATGTATGAGTCTCCTAATGAATGCAATAGTTGCAGGATGGTTGTGGGGTTGTTATGTGAGGCTTATGCTTGTGAGTGACACGTTGGCAGAACTTGTGGCTAGGAATGCGAGCGAATGCATGACGAGTTGAATGGTAAAAATGGATTAGTGGATAAGGGCCATAAGGCTATTAGCTTTTGCGGTTTTGGCATGTGAAATATGTTTCATTGCTTTTTTATATTTTTTAATATTTTTTTACTAAGTGGGGTGATTATAGGATAAATGGGGGAGTAGCTTCTGGAGATTGTTGGTTTGAACTGAATCAAGATGATCCAGTGTCGCAATTGTAGGATTGGATTGCGAAATTAATTAATTTGGTAAATGTTTACGGGTTTGAACCGAATCACTTTTTCCCTTATAGTATTTGGAGCAATCTATGTATAAAACTTGGTTTTAGAGAGAACTCAATTGTTCTCACATAATTAATTTTATTCATCAATACTTAATTGTGAATTGATGTCATAAATCTCTGTTCATAGAAATAGTAAAGTCAAATATTTTGAATTCAAATTTAATCTCATTTTAAATTAAATCTACTACTAGCAAAATATTGAAATTGAAATTTAATCTTATCCAAAAAGGTTCAGAGCCTAGTTTGACTCATTGCAATTGACCTATGGCAAATTGGTCTCTACTGAGCTAATTGTACTTTGTCATAGCTAACAGTCTATTCGGTTGCATGTGAGAAAAGTAAAAATGAGAAATAAGGTAGGCAGATGATCTCAATTTTTTGGTTTATACTAGCGGAAAATGAGTAGTCACCAAGAGTGCTTAGCTGTTCAAGCCGGGCTCTTTTATGCTTGGAAGTCACTTTTAAAATTGGTTAAATATGATACTTATACCTTTTATGAAATTACAAAATCACTCATAAGTGCATATGCATCACACTCAAACGTGCATTGAAATAATATAGTGATTGCATATTATAGTATATTAAAATTAGAAATGTTATATTGATATGTAATGCATCATTATTTATTAATTTTTGCTAAAGCATAGTAAAATTATAATATATAATGTTGTAGATAATAATCTATTATTAATTCCTTATATTTATGCAATATTTTAATTAATATAGAAATACATTTAAGATATATTATTGTATAGAAGAACGTAACAAAAATATATTATCATAGCATGCAAATATATAATATCGAAGTATTTTATATAAATTAATCGTTGTAGTATATGAAATTTTACGAGTTAAATATTTTTATATGCTTATATTTATGTGATATGCCCATGCAAATATATGTATGTGTATGTATATGCAATATTTTTTATGCATAACTATATGTATGCACATTATTTTTGTTATCCATTGTAGTAGTGTACTACATAGGTAAATTGCATGATTTATAAAATGTATCATATAAAATCTATTTTTTTTTTTCTGATTTTGCACTATCCATCTTTCTTTATTTTTACAATTATACACAGACAGACATGGCATGCGTGCGCATTAGGGGTAGTTTTACTAGGATTATTAAGAGTTTCCATGCTTCATCCACAACCAAACAATAGGAAATATCACTTTCCAGTTCAATAGCCAAACATCATTTTAGAAGTGGTTTTCACTTTCAGAATTGATAGGTGCTTATGAGAAATCAAATAAGTACTAATAGAAACAAAAATTCTTATTGAAGAGCATTGCATCTCTCTTTCTCTCTACTCTATGCCAATACCAATGCGATATACTTTGGAATTGTCAGAAACCAAAAATGACCTACAGAAGGAGGTGGGTGGATATCTACATGTTGTGGTTTTACAGGATATCAAAGTCGTAGATGATGTTACAGTGGATAATTTGCGTGAACTTCCAAGAGGAACTCGCAATGGAGATTGTATCCTGAATTGATTAGTTGTGATTTTTTCTTTGCTTTCCCATTCAAAGGTTTTACTTGTTAATGTCAAAGAATATTGCAATATATTTTTATTTATAGATCCTTCACTTTGAATTATTGTCTTCTATGTTATTATTGTTGCTGGAAGCATCTAAAGAGGATTATTGGTAAGTCAGAACTATTTTTCTTGTCATTATTTGAATCCCATTGCATCCTCCATTACTCATGCGATAACAAAGAAAAATATTGAGCTGTGTTTTTTCTCCATGCAATCATCTAATGCAAGAGTTGGAATTTTCATGGTAATGTTGTATTTTTTTTTTTAATGTGAATGTTTTGTATTGTGTTGTCTGGCTGTAATAAAATGGTTACTACTCTTTCCAAATAGACAAGCTTCTCAGGGTCTGTTTTACATGGTCTTGGAGCCTGAAGGGATTTCACACAAGCTTAGGCATTTTCATTATGTATTTCTACAGAAATGGAAAACTATGGATGATAGTATTTGGAAAGGCAATGTGAAGCAGTAGTGCATTACAATTGAAGGTTTACCCAATTTTGGCAAGTTGATCGTCTAGCAATTTCCATGATATCCCCTCGTTAAATTGCTGTGGAAATGCATAATGAAAATTCCATGCCCCGCACATGTGCCCCCACCATGGCTTGACCACCTTGGAGAACACGCATGCAGAGTAGTTTGTCACTATTATTATAACAACAGAAGACATTATTTCGTACAACAAAACATAGAACCACCAATCTAATTTTTGCTTCAATACCCCATCCTTGTTATCCTGTTTACCTTGACGAGTTAGTTCTTGATGCTATTGTTGTCGGAATGGATATGTTGATAAAGAAATTTGGGCCTACAAACAAGGGAAAACATCGCCTTTGTCTTATAACTGATGCACAACACCCCGTCAAGGAGCCAGATGAAGGCTGTAAGGCAGATCAGGTTAATACGATTGGTCAATTGATGAAATCTCATGGAGTGCGATTGGATTGCATAGTTGTAAAGGTTAAGTTGGCTAGGTCAGTTCAACAGAAGGCAGCAGATGAGAATATTGATCTACTGAATCAATTTTCTAAGAATACGATCTCTAAAATCATTCATGTTGATGGTCCGACATCATTGCTTGGAGCTCTTAGGACTCGGAACATTTCCCCTGTTACTGTTTATAGAGGAGACCTTGAATTAAGTTCAAGCATGAAGATCAAGGTGAGATGTTGTATTTTGTCACGAGTAAAGGAGCTTGATTATGAACCATTATTTTAGAAGAAACAATTTTTGAGATTTCTTGATTTTTTTTTTTGAAATTTGAATTTAATCAATTTTCTAGCTCCTTTTAGACTATTATAAAAATTTATTTCTTACACATTCTCTTTTTACTCGGGTTTTGTTTAGAAAATACCACTATAGCTTTGTTTACATACTGAACAATGGTTATTTACCCTTATTTTACGTGAAATTACTAACCACTTTCTTTTTTTTTTTCTTTTCTTAACACTTTTTCTATTTAGTCGGATTCATTTAGAAAAGACAACTGTAGTTTTATTTACATACGAAACGATGATTTTCTACCCTTATTTCAAGTGAAGTTACTAACGACATTCTTTCTTCTTTATATTTTTTTATTTTTTTATTTTCTTTTAGTTTTTTTGTTAGGCTCGAATTTTTTGCCTTGGTACCGATTGTTTTTAATTGGCCTAAGTTCAAGCTATTTTGCTTGTGTAGGCAACGTTCTAATCTTATGATGATTTAGTCATTGCTTAAATGTAATGGCAGAGTGAGGAAGTAAGCTCTTCCTTCCCCATCTTTTTTGTTTTCTTTCTATGAGAGTGGAGGTGTGGATTTGAGTGCCATGATCCTGGTTCTTTGGCTGCACTTACTTTGGTTTTGCACGTGTGCTATGCTCCTTTTTTATATTTAAGAGGTTGTCTTTGTTTTGTTTGTTTGGGACAGTCAAGGTTGCTGGCATAGTTGACATCAATATGCCAATTTAGTGAGTGGATCAAAAAATTTGGATCACATAAATTTGCTAAAAATTTAAGTGATCAAATTTATACTGATATAGCAGTTAAGTATATGATGAGTTATATATATGTAAATCAAATAAATAGAAAACCATGTTAAATAAATTCAAATTATTATGAAATAAATTTTTGCCATCTCTAAAGGTCTTCATGAATTCTCTTCTTAAGTCATCTCTAAGTGACCAAGCTAGTTTAGTGAACACGAGTAATGTTATCATGGTTGCTAGTAAATGATTAACCTGAAAAAATAATTAACAAATCATTAGTTGATTTCATAAAGATTTGTTTTCATTAAATCACTAAATAGCTACCCATGAATTTAATATTCAAAATTTTCTTTAATGGCTCCTACATCACATAGTAGTTTTCTTCTTGTTCTCTTGTTGAGATAACTTCCTTTAGCATGGGTTCAATTGCCTTTTACTGATGTGCTAGAACGTGATTGATATTAAATTCATGAAATGAGTTGTCATCCAATAATTACTAAGTAAAATCGAGGCACCACGCTCTTGGCTGGATCCCAATAGATGAAAAGCAAAATTGGAGGCAACAACTGATAAGGACGTTAAGGCAATCCTCCAATCAGTTGCCTTAGCATGTCTGATTAAGGGTGGTTGGCCAAGCTCTTTTCGGCGCCGACTTGATGAGCCTATCTAGACAACCTTACATTCGCCAATCTTTATCTCGTTGAGTGGTTCATTATATGGGAAAATTTTTAAGCAAACCATTTGCTTCTTACACTGTACCCTCCTAAAAAGGAAATTTCTTCCCGGAAACTTATTACATGCATTGTCAAGTGATAAGGTTGCCAGCTTCTATCTCCTCCGTGGCTTCTCGCTTCATCTAGCTTATTCCGTTGGCTTTAATCCATAATGCAACTCATTTCAGCTTTCTTCTTTATTAAGGACAAACCCAAATATATTCTGATCTTCCTCTATGCACCCATTGACATCAATTTGCCATCCAAATCACATGAATTTTTTATCAGTCATGGGAGTTATGCTATGTGGCTAGAGGAGCAATGTTTTTATAGAAATACGGTTTAAGTGAATTAGTGTATCATAAATAGATATAAATCTACTCATATTGAGGCTAGTGCCTCTCAAGATAATTATCATTGAACTTCAGCTTTTTTATGATGAATGTAAACTATGCTGTTATATAAAAGGCAAATGAATTATTTGTTTCCTTACATGTTTTTAAATTCATCATATTTTTGAGATTTTAGTTGTTCGCTCATGAAAAAATGGTGCTATGGCATGAACCCTACTTCCCAGGCTTAAGGTTCCATTTTTCCCTAAGGTAGATTGAATTTTTAACTAACCAGATTTCCTCCGATAATTATATCTAGGTTTATTTAGTTCCAAGTTTCTATTTCCTATGAGCGCAAGCACTCATAGTTAATTACTATTCATTTCACGTAGAAGAGAACTCTCGATTAAAAATAAATTAACTTTTAGAAGTGTAAGTGTTTTAACCTTGGTTGTGGGGGATGGAGGTAGACCCGATCATGATCACATGGTTCCGTCATCCCGGGAATACCGTAGGTTTCAATTTATCAACACTAACAATTATTGGTTGTAGCGTCTAAGGAATTTGATTAGCAGCCATGGGTTGCCTCCTCTCTGGGATCCCGAGTAAACTGAAGTGGGTAAATGTGAATTTTAGTGATATGGTGGTTTAGTTTGGATTGGGGCTTATGGCTCTGCTTCCCGTAATTCAGGTTTGGATCGGGGCTTACGACTCCATTTAGGAGTTGCCCATAGGTTTAAGTTTAGGTTGGGGCTTATGGCTCCCGTTAGGAGTTGACCATAAGTTTAGGTTTATGTTGGGGCTTACGACTTCGTTTAGGAGTTGCTCGTACTGCAAATTTTACTGATTCCCTTGGAAATAACCTGTATGTTTGGGTAGGTCTTACGGCTTCTACATTTAGAAGTAGCCTATATGTTTGGGTAGGTCTTACAGCTTCTACATTTAGAAGCAGCAATTTTCTTAGTTTGCACCTCCTACTACCTCGATGCTTGTGCTTTTGTTTCAATACCCATGTTTTAGTTTCAGTACTAGTTTTTGACTCTTGCCCACTTATTTGTAGGCATTTGGAGCTAGCATTATAGGAGCCTGCTTGGAGCTGAGTTTGGAGAGTTGGGTTGTTTGAGAGCTTTGTTCAAGGTTGTAGTTTGTTTGTTTAGAGTTTTTGTGTTTTAATTTTAGGAGTTTGGGATTTAGTTGGTGTGAGTTGTACTTAGGTTTGTTTAGTGCAAACGTTCATTTACATTTTCTCTTTTAAATTAATTGCATGAATTAATTTTAATTAAGTTCTAAATTTAGCTAATTAATTAACTTATGGATTAAATGAAATTTTAAATTTTAAATTTCTGAATCAATTGAAGTTTTTAATTTCATTTTTTTAATTAACTAATTTTAAATTAATCGATTAGTTAGTTAATTAATTTTTTAATTGATTAATTAATTAAAAGTTCTCTTATTCAATCTCAGTGATTAATTAACTTATATATATATAAGTTAATTAAATTGATCAATTTTATATTGGTTATTTTAATTATTTATTCAATTTAATTGAAAATTTAAATTTATTTTTTGAATTGATTAATTAATTATTTATTAATTAAAATGTTAAATTTTAAATAATTAATTATTAAGCTCATTAAGAGTATTGTAATTCAAAATTTTAGGAAAAATTTAGCAAGCTTCATAGCATAGCCCTTTCCCTTGAGGGCGTAGTTGTGTGGAAAGGACAAACCCAACTTACCCCTTTCGAACCTCAGCCTAATTAGATAAGATTGACTGTCGAGGGCTTTGGGACGACCAAGTCCCTGAATCGGTCTTTGAAGTCTTTCCAAGTAGTTGTTTACATTTATTTTTTGGAAATGTTGGTCGCCTCTCGATGGCAGCCTTCTCCCCATGAGGGACTCGGAGAGGCACTTGCCCTTTCAAACCCTTCCAGCTCGGATAAGAATTCAACTACCGAGGGCTTTGGGACGTTGTTTGGTCCAGTAATCATTCTTCAATTCCTCTAATTAAGTGATTGCAAATACTTTCTCTTTATTATTATTATTATTATTATTATTAATTATTATTAATCCCCTCTTAACCGATCTTCCTTCATTTACTGTTTCAAACAAGAAGCAAGATTTGGTGTGAGAGTAGGCTGATCCATGTGTAGATGAGAGAACCTGGAAGTGCCAGGCAGGCCTGGAAGGAGGGATATCTTGTTTGTAGTAGAGGTAAGACGGATACGTCGGTACAGCATGGGCCGATTGCCGCCTTGCAGGATTGAATTAGCTGTGTGAAGTGCTTGTTCTACGTATGTGGGAGATCGAGATGACAGATCTTAGATTCGCTCTTGGCTAGGTGGAGTGGTTTGCGAATGCTGACCCAGTGGTATGCTGCTCAAATTGAACGTAGGCTGGAGTTGAAGTGTGCCTGGTAAGGTGGCCCAGCAATAAGATGATGATTGGATTAGTGCATTTGAGCCTCTGAGTGCAAATAACAGGAGTATGTGAATCGAGCGATAGAAGAGCCAGACCAGGCTAGAGGCTCGAGCCCTACGTGGAAGCAAAACGAGATCAGATATGAATAGGGCTCGAAGAGGCCTATGAGAGGCCGGTCGTCCGAGAGTTGGAGCATGCGTCGTACATTGGAGGTCTGTGGCCTTGGGTTCGTTTCATATGCAGGATCAGAGATGGATTGGGAGCACACAAATGAGGAGGTTGGGCTTCCGATTGCTAATTCAGAGGTAAGTTTTTTTTGTTTCTCTTCTTATTACACGGACTAAGGCAACAATTGCTTCAACTACGTGGGGAAAACAACATGCGACTACCGTTTAGCTTTGCCAACATGGATCCTTTTTTTTTCATTTAAATTAATTTTTCAACATTAAGTCTTCATGGTTAGTAAAATCGAAGTTAGAGAGGCTTTAAAGAAAATGACATTTTTATCGGCGTATTAGTAAAATCGAAGTAGAGAGACTTTAAAGAAAATGAAGTGTGAAAAGCTGGTGGACCTGATGAATATTCCAATAGAGGTGTGGAAATGCTTAGGAGAGAAGGAATTCTTATTTACTAAACTTTTAATACTGTTTTTTTAAAAACTAAAAAAGTATGTCAGATGGTGGAGAATGAAGTTGTTAAATTCATATTTTTTAAAAATAAAGGTGAATGCACAAGATTATGCGAATATAAGAAATTAAGTTAATGCGTCATACTTAAAACTATGGGAGCGAGTTTATGAAACGTAGGTTGTGGCGTGATACTAATGTTTCTCAAAATCAATTTTGGATTCATGCCGAGTAGGTCTAACTATGAAAGCCATTACATTTATTGAGAGGTTTGAGAAGAAATATAGAGAGAATAAGGAAGATCTACATATGATATTTATTGATTTAGAGAATGCATATGATAAAGTTTCAAGAGATAGTGTTATGAAGAGATTCTTTGAAAAGAATGGAGTTAATAACGCTTATATTCAAATCATTTAAAGATATGCATGCAGGAGCCATTACTTGTGTTTAAACACAAGGTGGTTGACCAAGTATTTTCCTTTTCGGTGGATTACATCAAAGATTAGCCTTAAGCCCATATCTTTTTCTTTAGTCATGGATCTCACTAGACATTTGCAAGAGATGTACCTTGGTGTATGCTTTTTGCTAATTATATTCTTCTTGTTGATAAGACTGAGAGGGAGTTGAAATAAACTTGAATTATGGAGGCAACCTTAGAGTTCTAAGGTTTTCGCTTGAGTAGATCTAAATTGATTATATGAGTGTAATTTTAGAGTAGTAATAAACCTAGTGAGGGATGTGAATTTGGGCTATCAAGTCATTAATAAGAGTATACGTTTAGATATCTTGGATTTATTGTTTCAGAGTGATGGTGATATAGATGGGATATTATCATAGAATCCAAGTGGATGGTGAATGGAGGAATGCATTGGGCTTGTGTGATAGAAAAGTCCCTCTCAAACTTAAGGGAAAATCTATAAGATGGTGGTGAGACCTGCAATGCTTTTTGGTGCCGAATGTGGCCATTAAAAGAGAAGCATAATACTAGTTAAAGTGTTGTAGATAGAGGATGCTTAGGTGGATGAGTGGCTTTCCCTTAGAAGTAGATATGAAATGAGCATAATATGTGAAAAGGTTGGAGAAGCTCAGTGGAAGATAAGATTAGAGAGAGTCGCCTTAGATGGTTTGGTTACGTAAACGGCGGCCTTCCAATGATCCGGTTAGGAAAGTTAGCATGGTAGATCTAAAAAGACTTGGTTAGAAAATATTAGAAATGATATTTCTTTATTAGATTTAAACGAGAATTTTACTTTTACCAGGACACAATGGAGAAAAAGGATTCATGTAGCTGACCCCCACATAGTCTACAAAGGCTTTGATGTTGTTGTTGTTGTATTAGTCTCATGGTTGCCTATTGTATTTCTAGAGAAGTTCAAAATAAGTCTCTAATATTTATACGTGTCCAGTTTAATCCCAGGATATTATATTTTCTCCAATTTAGTCACTGATCATGCAAAATTGATATTTGATCTCTTCATATAGAAATTGATGAAAATTGAGATATTAAATTGATTTCAATTTAGTGCCAGAGGGGCCATTTTGGTTCAATTTTTATAAACGAGGACTAAATGGAGAAGTGTGATACTCTCAGATTATTATTGACACATACGAATGTCAGGATATTATTTTGATCTTTTTCTTGTGTATTACATTTGAAAATTGTCAAATTGCTTTGAAAATATTATATACTCTCCTGAATTTTATTCTCATATGACTTTTTTAATGTAGAATTGCTATTCAGTTATTGGGATTTGCATTTGTGATTTAAATTGCTTTTATTGAGTATATGTATACTATGACATGTTTTAGTGAATGACAACCAAGTGGATATTTATAGTGCCAAATATATAATATAGTATTATATTAACTATATATATTATATATATATATATATATATATATATAATTTTCTACCTTAATATCATTTACATTTATAATGCTGCTCTAAATATGATTTTGGACTCTATTATTATTAATGCTAGTGACATGAATCATTCTTGATTTTTGTTGGAGATTTTAACTATGGCTTCGTTTGAGAAGGATTTTTTAATGCTTCTTAAAGCAATTTTTTAGTGCAAAAATTAATTTTTTTTTTGTATTAAAAAGCTGCTTCAAGAAGCGTAAGAAAGCCGTCCCAAACGAAGCCTATATTTGTGTCTTGAAGATAAAGAATGAGACTTTCATACACTTTAATCCATACTTAGTTATTTCAATATTACATGTTAATGTATACAAAAATAGATTATAAATATTTAATCCATGCTTTTGTCTTCCAAGGCTCCCTTTTTTCAACATTTATTATTAATGGTTGAACAATCAAATGGATCTTTTTGCATATTAAATTTAAAACTTCCGCTCTTGTTTTTTATTTTTAGTATCAGATTGTTTATCAATCTCATTTATTGGCCTACTTATTTCTTGAATTCTTCTTTTGGAATAGGCTTGTGTTTTATAGATTTATTTATGTGATTGTTTTCTTTCGAAGCCATTTCTTTTTAAACTATTACGATCCAATAATAATTGTTATAACTTGCATTATATATTACATATGGAGACAAAGATATGGAATGAGATTTTAGTTTAAATATGAATTTTATATGTGATGTATTAGATTATATATATATATATATAATTTCTCTATTTGCATTTTTATCTCTCCTACTCATATCAAATGCTTTGCAAATTTAGGGAGCTGGCATAATGGCTTTAGAAAACCTATTTTTCATAATTGGTTAATATAAAATGACAAATGACATTCAATAAACTCATTATGACTGTCAGCATGATGACATATTTAAGCAAAAATATTATCATGCATCTCTCTTTTCATTACTTCAGCTTCATGCAATCAAGTGTTTTTTTAATGCTTTTAGTCAAATTTAAAGAGATTTTGTGGCATTTTTGCAAGCTCCTCATTAAACTCTATGATTATTAATATCAGCATTAAGATCCATGTCCTTCATGTATAATAGAGAGAAAAATCTGATTTTTAGATTGTGCATTGTATCTTTTCATATGCAATCTCCATGCTTAAATAGCCATTTAAATTTCTATACATCAAATGAATACTTTGTACTCCCACAATGGAGTTCTACCTTGATTATTGTTTTTAAGAAATTAGCTTTCATTTGAGTTGCAAACTAATTTAGTAAAATAAAATTTGAAGCATAATGACTTGATAGACAGGTCTATCATCTCAACAAATGCTCCAAAATTATTTCTTAATTTGCATAGATTTAATAAATGAATATTCATATATTCATTTTTCTGTTACAAATCGACAATCATTACAACCCATAACACCATCATTCTCAAAGATGGAAGAATTTTGTTGTTTGTTTCAAAATTCAAAAGAAAATTGTGAATATATTAGGTGTACTATGACTTGATTAATTCTTAAATCATTATGTGATTATGAATTTATATAATTTAAAGGAGATTTTGTATATTTTATCACAATTATAGTCCTGCACAATCATATTTTTATTTATTTTTAAAATTCTAGCAACATGCACTATGTGTATGCGCATTTAAACGAGTGTGAAGAAAAAAGTCTTATGGCTTTGTTACCATCATAATAATTGGAGAAAATTGGTTGATTAGTTCATTTCTTCATTTTCTACTGAATTGAATGAAGTATCGAGAAACCTCTAGTAGGAAAAGTGCAACAATCAGGGAATCAAAAATAAATGTTGATTTAATTACAATTAGGACAATACTATTAACTTTTTAGGTGGAAATTATAATCCTATGGATCACTGTAAGCGGAGCAAGGAAGGTGGAGTATTGCTGAGCTTGATGGAACATTGATGAAAACAATGATAAAATTGATGGAGGTTGATTTTTTCATACTAATTAGTAGCCATTTTAGCAGCTTGTTAGTTAGTTTCATTACCAATTCCTTAGTGGATGGCAATTTATTAATATTTTGTTATTTCTTTTATATATAAACTTGAGAATTCTGAATCATATAACACTATTCACGGCGTTAATAAAACTCTTATTTGTTATGTGAACTCTATTCTTCTTCGTCCTCTCATTTGTGATTTGATCTTTGATGAGTTGTGAAACTTGAAACACTTTTAGGAGGCAATCTCCTGTTCAAGCATGCGGATTGCATTATATCTTTCTTATATTTTCCACGTCATGCTGCTTCAACATGGATCATGGGACCACAAGTACAATGGCATTTTACTTGATAAATTTCTGCTTTGGAATGGATTTTTATACCATTATTTATAGTGCAGATATTTTTAACTCTAAATTTATATTTTTTATCCATTAAATCTAACTTTGATGCACCATTGTCATGTATTCTTGTGCACTAGAATACGTTTAGTGACATGTCGGTGGAATCAGGTTTTCCTGATTATATTTTGATTAATAAGGCCTTTGAGTATTCCATTAATAGGTTTGGGTTTACAAGAAAACAGCTGAGGAGAAATTTCCTACATTGAAAAAATATTCTGACAAAGCACCACGAAATGATAAATTTGCCACTCATGAACTCAAAATTGATTATGAATACAAAAACACAGAAGATTTTGGTAAGGTTGTTCCGCCAGAGCAAAGAATAAAAGGCTATCGATATGGACCTCAAGTTGTTCCTATATCTTCGGCAGAATGGGAGGCAGTAAAGTTCAGACCTGAGAAAAGTGTGAAGCTTCTGGGATTTACTGATTCTTCTAACATAATGCGGTAAGATAAATGCTTTCTGATGTTAAGTGTGTAGAATGCTAAGAGATTAACTTGTCTCTATTACATCATAGCAAGGTCATTAATTCTTTTTTTTTTTTAAATTATATTGTAAACTGCTCTCCTAATAGTATTTTGTTTTACTTGCAATAAGGTTTGGTTATCGTTGTTCTCTTTTTGCTTGATGAAGGCACCATTACATGAAGGATGTATATGTATTTATTCCTGAGCCGGGTGATACAAAAGCAATCCTAGCAGTTTCTGCCCTGGTAAGAGCCATGAAGGAAATGAACAAAGCTGCAATTTTGCGATGTGTATGGAGACAGGGACAAGGGAATGTTATAATTGGAGTGTTGACACCTAATATCTCTTCTGCTGATAATATTGTGAGGTTTCACCCATTTTGTCCCACTATATTTTGGTTCCTTTTTCTCACGGTTTTGGTTATAGTTTCATCTACTTATGTCATGCATATTGAAGGACATAATTGCTTGTTTTTGGCAGCCAGATTCATTTTTCTTGAATGTACTTCCCTTTGCTGAGGACGTGAGAGAGTTCCAGTTTCCATCATTTAATAATCTACCTGCATCACGGCAGCCAAATGAACTACAGCAAGAAGCATCAGATAACCTGGTCAAAATGCTTGACCTTGCCCCAGGTGGCCAAGAGGAGTTGTTGAAACCTGAATTAACACCAAATCCTGTCCTACAGGTTTGGAATAGTTGTTCTTAGATTATCTCTCTTTCATTTATATTAACAAAGCCCGCCAATGATTCTCTGATTGCATGTCTCAAATTAATTGGAACATTTTGGCCTAGTTGTCATGGATATGATTCCTATAAATTCGCTATTCCAAGCTTTTATTAGAAAGCTTATGGGCTGACATAAGGAATTGTTTAAAACTATATGATGTGAAACGAAATCGGAATTGCATGGAGAAACAATAAGACAACTGAATAAGCAAGTCAATATAAAGATTAACGAGTCACAATTAATTATTTAATGAGATCTCAGTTGCAAAGTTGCTTAGGCAGTGTTACAAATTCGTTAGGAAAGACAATTTAAAATAACAACAAACATGCGAGTAATGACAAATGCACTTTAACAATAATCCGTGGGTTAATATTTAGAAAAGTCACCTTGAGTTTCCCTCACTAAAGCTCTCTTGCAGTTAACAGAAGAGAGATATTAGCAATAATGACGTGTTCACCATGAGGAAGAGGGAGCTTACAATACTGTTCACAGAAAAGCTAGTCGGAGTTGGAGGAGTCGGTGGAAAATGTAAGAGTTGCCACTCGGATGGAAGGTAGTATTTGTCGATGGCGGTTGATAGAGAAAATAGTATCTGATCCACATAATCTTCAACAGTGGCGTCGATCTCTACGTTGTCGTCACGGAAAGGCGATCTCAAAACGTCCGCACGTCCTTGGGAATCAAAGATGAATCTATGATCAATATCCGGATCGGCCATGCATAGTTGTCCAAGAGAAAATGTAGAGAGGGAGACGAGGGGTCGGCCAAGCTAAGGGGAGAAGGAGAAAATAAAATCTGAAATTAATTTCAGATTTAGTGAATAATTAGGGATTAATTTCCTTTGAAATTTGAATTTGAAATAAGCGGAGATTAAGAGGGAAAGTGGGGAGGAAATGAATTAATTAAATCCTTAATTTATGGGATCTAATTAATTAAAAGGGGGGGGGGGCTTGGTTGGCCGGCCAAGGAGAGAGGGAGAGAGAGGAGTTGGGTATTAATGAGGTGGGCCCAAGCAATTAGTGGCTTGACCTCTTAATATGAAATTAATTTTAGATTTGGAGGGTTAATTAAGGGGGTTTCTTAAGAGGGAATCACATTAATTGGATAGATTTAAAATTCAAAATAATTTGAATTTGAATCTAAATATTTTCCAAATTTCCAAATTAATATTAATCCCCAGAAGGCAAGTGATAATAGCTAATTGATGGGCTCAAGTGGAGCAGGTGAGACCGGCGGTTTGGGAAATCTGGAGGGGCAGTGGGTGCGGGAAAAAAACAGGTTTTCCGGCTGCTGGGGCTGGGATGTTCTGGTGGCCGGCGGGATATGGAGGAGGCCTGCTTGTAGGTGTTGGCCTCGTTTTTATCTTGATTTTTCCTCGAGCTTGTTCGATCAGGTTAGTTGAGTCTCGTCGAGTCTAATTTAATTCAGTTCGGCAACGATCTAGGTCTGATCGAGTTGCCTCAAATTCGATTCTTATAATCGATTTGATAAAAATTCAATCAAGCTTGAATCAACTCGAAATTGGGTGAAATTAGACCTGATCGCATTCGATTAATTAGATTTGTTCATTTTAGCCGTGTCGAGTTTGATTTGGTTCAAGTTGATGACTTATTCAAGTTTAATTTTGTTAATTTGATCAAGTTGGGTCGAATCTGAACTAACCCAAATTAAGCCAGATTGAACTCGAGGTAGATTTGATTTTCAGCCCAGTAGACCCATTTTTAATTCTAATTGAATCGTAATCAACTTTCTAATGCATTTGAGTTTCTTTCCAAATTAAGAAGTATGATCTATGACCCTGGTTTAATTGGAAATCTCAGTTTGCCGTTGTCAGTTAGCAGAGTCGCGTGATCCCCTAGTTTTAGAAGGAAGGCAGGCATTGATTAGCGGGAAGCAGCATGACAGAGCCTAATTCGATGTGTAGGGGTGAGATCGAGAAGGCGGAGCAGCGGTGTAATCTCCGATGCTTGCAACTCTTCCGGGCATGACTCCCTTCAGCATTTACATTCGAGGTATGGGGAAACTCTCAAGCTCTCTCCTAGATTCTCCCTATTCGCACAGCTCCATGAATCGAAACAACCGTCCCTCTCTCCCGTTCTCACTGCGTATTCACACAAACCAGAGAGCCGAAGCCCCTTCCTTCCTCCGTCTCTTTTAGTTTCTCGTCGGCGAAGCCCAGAAAAAGGCTGAAGCCTTCACCTCTCCTCCGCTTGGATCGATCTTGGAGGCCGAAGCTCCTATGCTCCCGTCTCTCCCTCAGTTTGTAGAAACAAGGGAAGCCAAGCCCTATCCACTCGATCGCTCTCTCTCTGTTTTCCTCTGAACACCAAAGGGTCAGAACTCTCTCTTACCCCTCTCGTTTTCTCCCTCTCGAACCGACGCCAGGAGATGGACAGACCGAAGCCCCCTCCCTTTTCTTTTGATTCACGAACTCTTGAAGAAGCCGAATCCCTCATCTTCCTCCCATTCTCTCATGGTCAGAGGACTCCAACCGATCTACTTCGGCCTTCGACGACCCGGATTCACCTCTAGCCGAGTTCAAACTCTTCTATCGCAAAAGTCGGCTGAAGCCTTCTACCTCCCATCTCCAGTTTGCCAATCCAGAAGGCCCACCGCATGTCCTGACTGCAACTTCGACAGACCCGACGCTTGCTCTAAGGTTGTTTCCTCTCTTCCTCCATGCTAGCTGATCACGTCTGCTTGATCTCCACTACAACGATCTCTCAAATACATGTATAGAGCTGAAGTTAATTGTTTGTATGACATTTTAATTGAATCCTGAATGGATTTCCTTACCTGAAATGTCCATTTAAAGTTATGCTAGTGCCTGCTATACATCAGGTTTATCACCACATAAAGAATTGTGCTCACACATTTCTTCACGTGCATTCGTGTTAGTTTTGCATGAGTAAAAAAAAGGTCTGATGTAAACCACTAATATGAGATGTAATATCATCTTCTAGATTATTTGGTTGTGACAGGATTTTGCATTATCTTGCATGGGGAATCGTATCTGTGTTAGATAGATTATTGCCAAGACTTAAGACCTTTAAACTCACATGTATTATATTTTCTTTTAATTTAGTCGCCACATGTATGCTGAAGTTAACATTGAATCGGGGTTTTATAAGGCATGGTTTGGGAGAGCTCTAATATATGAACATAAATTAATCAAAGCATTTATTTATTTTCTCTAAAAAAAATAAAAGAGGTCTCCATTTGATTTTCTTTCATATATATTTGAGGGTGATAATATCTTGCATTATTTCTTAAATCGAGCTGATTCAAAATTAGTTGCCATTATATCTGATTTTGTCATTGTTCTAATCCAATGTTTATTTTGTGGATTATTACCGAGATTACTTGAAAAATTCTCTTTCTTCTTTCTATCTCATTCATTCCTTATGGTATTGCATAATACCTACCTTATCTTTAATTAAGGAATTGCAGATGATTTGCATGATACTATAAATAAATTATTGATATTTGTTGCAATCAATTCATGCTAAAATATTATAGAGAGGCATGAAATCTCATGAGCCTTTCCTTCGCTCTACAAGGTGATTTATTTATAGTTGTTAGTTGAGTTCAAGATTTATAATTGTCAGTTGAGTTCAATACAAAGCATGTAATAAAATTTAAACTTCATCCTATAGATGTGCACTCATTTCTCTTGAAAATCAAATTTTATTTATATAAATTTCTTTATGGTGAATTGCCTTTTATGCCTCTTTTTGATGCATTATATATATATAGAGCCTATATAAAGAATTAAGGATGTTATGTTTCATTTGAGAGAAATTTGATTTAAAAAAAATTGCTTATGTCGTCATTTATTTATTTATTTTTATCGATGCATTATTGCTTCATGAGGAGTGGTTCTGAAGTATATTTGATATTATATGATGAGTGGGTTGGAGATCAATTTAACGTTATAAGATAACAGTTGGTGATGAGATGCTTATGTAAACTTTTGAATCTTAAAATTCTTTTACTCATTGAGGTTTTGTGTGGGAAAGTTTCATGAATTGCTTTACATGTGAGAAGTTTTATTTGAGAATCGAATTTGGTTTGATGTAAGCTTGCGTGCTTTATGTTAAAAGGTCTCTTAAACACTTTGAAAGATGATCAAATTGGCATTAAATTCTCGCTTATGATTGCATTTTTTAGTAGAAAGCATTGAGTTTAAATTTTGAAGGTGTTTCTTGTTGATTGTTCGTTATAAAGGTTATTCTAATTCTCATTCTCACATGTGTATGGTTTAGAAGATGTTATGTGTGTGATTTGAAGAAGTAAATTTGTGTATGTTGGAAATATACATGCATTTGTGAAAGGTGTTTGTGAAGCTTCATGTTGGACTTTTTTTTTTTAGTTGGAATGAGCTCTTATCAAAATGTCCCGTCTCCTACTCGCATTTAGCTTCCAAATTGGAATGAAAGCTCTATCGAAACATTTGACGATGCACAATATGGAGGTTGTTGGAGAGTTTATCATTTTTATGTTTCAAATATGAATTTTATTTTATAGAAATAGTTCAAGGATACATTGGGATTTTGAGTTATTCTCTTGAGCTTTGGTAAAATGTTTAGTCAGTTATATTGTTGTAGCATTTTATTGGAGGTCGGGAAGGTGAAATGTCGTCAAAACCATTCTCCTTTTAATTGCATTTGGCTCAAGTTGGATTGAAATAAAATGGTGGGATTTTCTTGTGCTCTCTTTTATATTTGATAGCATGCAACATAGAGAATAAGAATTTGTGAAGGCATCTTATGAATCGTTTTATGACTTAAAGACTTTTATGATTTTCTTATATAAGAAAATCTCTAGACTTGCATTGTGTTGAAGAGTCTCATGAGTTCCTATATGGTTGAAAGCTTTATGAAAAGTTTTGCAAGCCGTTTTGCGTTGAAAGCTTTTGTGAATTGTATTTATTGGAAAGACTTTGTGAACACTTTATG